AAGTTATGACCTTTGTGATTTCTTCAGTTTTTTTGTTATCCGTGTCTTATATCTTAGGTCGCGAGTTAATTAAGTTAACATATATTAATATAGTTTTTTTAAATTAATTTTTATTTGATTTTTTCCTTTATTATTAAATTATTAACCTTCAAACATTATTATTTTTTCTATCTTTTTTTACACGGGATTATTCCAAATATGAAATGTTCAAACTTCTCAATATCTCCCTAATAAATAAGTGACGTAAGGGATCTGTTTATTTATTTATTTACGTCGTTGTTTCTATGTTAAAACAATTACAACAAAATAAATATTTAATAATATCTTAAAAATATATTTTTATTGATAGAGCCCACCATCAACTATGACAGAGCTACAAATTTAAGTTTATAAGGAGCAGTTGAAGGGGCGAGTGTAGCCTTTTTATTTTCCCCCCTGTTTTCCACTTTGTATTATATATAACAAGAAGTCCGCAGTCCAAAAAAATCTTATAGAGATAAGTGCAGTCTATTTCACCCTAGAAAAGAAAAGGACTCTAGAAATAAATGAAGGAAAACAAATGAGAAAAAATATATGGTGTAGCAAATAACTTATTTTTGTGGTGCTTGAGAGCTTGATGAAAACATTAAACAATTTAATTGAAATTAAAATATTTAAAATATTTTATTTTTTTATATATTTTTTTTTAAATACCAAAACATTATTGTTTTATTTAAAATATCAAGCCTCGGAGCATAAAATGAACCACAAATTCATTTATAAATTAGGATTTTTTTTTTAAAAAAGGATTTTAATAGTTGAAATCGGATTAAAATGGTACGTACGCAGTGGACTTTCTGTAGCACATGTGCTTATCTGGATAAGTGAGCTGGTAGTGAGTCCACTCGTTATTTCCCAAATCTAGTTACGGAAATGAACAGTCCTTCCTTCCTTCCTGACATGTGTTCTATCCTGGTTAAAAACAAATATTAAAGAAAAGCGTAATTCCACTTCTCAGGTAAACTCCAAATACCATCAATTCCCCATCTCTCTCTGTCTCCGCAAACCCAATCCAAAGCCAGTAATCCGATTCTCCTCATGGCTGCTCTTCTTGAATCCCTCACCGTTCCTCCTCTCACCTTCACTAAACCTAAGCCTACTACTAATACAACTCTCTCCGCTTTTTCTTCATCTATTCACCGGAGATCCCTTCGTTTACCCCACGTCAAAGGCCTCAAGCTCTCCTTTAATTCGTCGACTATAAACCGCTCT